TATAAGTCACGGCGAGCAGAAGGACGTCCGTTGTGAAAGGCAAGGGCGGTGGTCCGTGACGTTGGCCACGTATTAGATTTAATACGAAGTCGGTGGCAAATGTGCAAAGCGGCCTCAAGAACTGCACGAGGAAATCTTCTCGTTTAATGAAAAAAATTAACCAACATTTTTGAAAAATTCGTCTTTAATATTTATTAGATCTTCTAATCCATATCCAAACAATGTTGAGTCTAAAAAATAAATAAAATCTGTGAACTTGTTTTCACACATATTATTCACGCGTGAAAATTCAATACATAAGTAAAGATGCGTCGTGCCGAGACTATCAGATTTCTGTACCACTCGATTTCCGGACTCGCTCGGGGAGAGTCTTCGAGCTGTTGTGCCTCCGAATCGGTGATGCCGGGTGTCCGGGTATGTGGCGCGCCCCACGTGGAACTGTGCTCCAAAGGTTCATGTATCCATGCCCCGATCCGGCGGTAGGCGGCGTGTTTCGTATCGAGTCTAACTCCATGTTCAAGTGCCCGTGTCCGGGTCCCGCGGGTGTGATGCCGAGTCGGCGGCTGATCTTGCCCCGATCATGCCGGTCCGGGGGCTCAGGGGTTTCCTACAAGCGAAGGGATTCTGTGTGTGGACAGGTCTCTAAAGCGAGACAGGCTGGTTGTGCCAGGGGGTCTCTAGAGCGAGGCATAACGACGGATGGCTGAGGAATCACCCGCGGGCGGGAATCCCATGCCGAGTGATCTCTGAAGTGAGACGAGTGGCTGTGTGCCGGAGGTGTCTTTGAAGTGAGAGAAGTGACCGTATGTCGGAGGTGTCTCTCAAGTGAGACGAGTGGCTGTGTGCCGGAGGTGTCTTTGAAGTGAGAGAAGTGACCGTATGTCGGAGGTGTCTCTGAAGTGAGAGGAGTGGCTGTGTACCGGAGATGTATCTGAAATTAGACGAGTGGCTGTATGCCAGAGGTGTCTCTGAAGTGAGACGAGTGGCTGTGTGCCAACGGTGTCTCTGAAGTGAGAGAAGTGACCGTATGTCGGAGGTGTCTCTCAAGTGAGACGAGTGGCTGTATGCCAACGGTGTCTCTGAAGTGAGACAAGTGGCTGTATGCCGGAGGTGTCTCTGAAGTGAGAGGAGTGGCTGTGTACCGGAGATGTATCTGAAATTAGACGAGTGGCTGTGTGCCAGAGGTGTCTCCGAAGTGAGACGAGGGGCTGTGTGCCGGGGGGTCTCATAAGTGAGACAGGTATCCTTGTGGAGCATGGATGTCGTTCTACGGCGCGCCTAACCCGGTCTGATGGCCCTGACTACCGAGTAACCGAAGCATGATTGTGGATATCCCGTGGAGAACTGCAAGATGATGAAAACCAGGTAACCGACCAATCACCGGCGAGGGTGAAAACAACACGAAAGAAATGAAGCTGTGCCGCTCAGGGGGCGCCTTAGCGTCGAAACCTAGCGACAATAAAGTTTGGCGTTATCGGGTGCAGTTTGCGTATAATAATTAATTAAAAAATAGTCAACCCGGCGCCAAGCGGAATGCGAATCGGAGAAATTGCTGTGCATTTTTTTGCTCCACACCATATACAGCACAATGCAGTTGATCCGCGTTCGGGTAACCGACGCGCGTGCACGGAAAGAAAGATATTTGCACTTTTAGCAAAGGGCAGCATTGCTGATAAAGTTTTACTCACACTGCAGCAATAATCGCATCAACAATAAAAATGTTTTCAATTATATCGAATCGTAGAAGTAGCCACTGGAGAGCTCTCTTTAAAAAAAAGTACTTACTGAATTAGCAAATGAATTTGTTGCAACAGCCAAAAAATATTGTCGTCACTATTCAAATTAATGAGCGATATACAATTTGTTGCCGCAAGAAAAGAATATAGTACTTGTGAATAGAATTCGTGTTTCCACAGGGAAGTAATCGCCTTTTTGTTGTCAATATAACAAAAATGTTTCTGGACAAAAATGTTGCTGGTCCATTTCCAAGCGTTCATATTTGTTGCAGCAAGTAACATTTCTTGTTATGTCCGTGAATTATTTTTCTACGTGTCCTTGGCTGTTTTTCAATTCATTATTATAGGTAAACAGCGTACCATAGAACAAAATTGTACAAGATCTGTAGGTTATATTTCAACAAAGATAGCGATGCGCAAACCGTGGGGACGAATTTTGTTATACTCTGTTAAATATTTGCACTTTCCGGTGAGTTATCCAAACAGGCGTTGAACTCCTCGGCCAAGTTCGCAGTAGCTGAAAGGTTAATACAAAGTCGTTGCCAAAGTGCACAACTACTTCGAGGATTGCACGTGGTAATGCTCTCGTTTCCTGAAAAGAATCGACCGAAAATTCTAAAAAATTCCCACGTCTTCCGCGCCGAGGCAAAAGGAGTCACATCCTGGTTAAGTATTAATGGTATGGATCTACTTTATTACTCTTTTCCTTCGGCATACTTCCGAGGAAATAACGGAAGCTCAAGGACGCAAGCAAGACGGCCGTCGTCAAAGCCGCCATTTGTCGCGCCTTTCTCGTGGCGTGGCGCCTGGAAAAAGGCCCTAGCCGAGTTTTCAGCAACAGTTTGCCCTGGAATCGGTATTCGTTAATTCTTATTGAACCGTGGAATGTCGCACGGGGGAACGTTCGAAGGAACAAAAGAACCTCGGCGTATTTAACACTAGATTGCCGGAACGAGTCAATTTGACTCATTTACGATTTTATTGCTATACATATATAAAAACTTAAATAATTCATCTTTAAAACATATGTTGGTTTTTAATAAAATTATGAAATGTATACAAATGCTGATTCCTTCCTCTCCCCCCTCTTAGTTCCAAAAATGCATATGTGCTATACCTAATTTGACGGATGTGAGTCAAATTGACTCATTAAATATTTTTAATCTTGGTCGCTTTAGATACATGTAACTTATTTCTTGCCCATAGAAATTGATTGTAAACAATCCGATTCGATAGTTTTCACGTTCAAACTTATCAATTTACTAGCTAGATATCTATTGAAAACTTGCACATTCAATATTGTGAAATTATTTGTTGCAAGTCTTTTTTGTTGAAGGCTTTTACGAAAGCTCTGATAAAAAATTCTTTGTGTTCTTCCATTTCGATGTATGGCATCGGAGAGAATAATGCATTTTTAGTAATGTAAATTATTTTTGAAGAATTTTTGCGTTCCAAGGTAATTTCAAAATTTATTTATAAGATGTATTTACGTAAATGTAAATAAATATTTTAGTTCTAGATAAGGGTTGCTATTGTGACAAAAAATGTAAGAGATCTTAAATCGCGAAAAAAAATGACCCAAATAAGAGGAAACCAGTCAGATATCGAATCCGATGCATCCGATACCGAACTATATGAAATAGAGAATCAAGCTAATAGGATTGAATTTTCGAGCAGGGAAGATGAAGATCTTCATCGTATAGCTCCTAGAAAAAGAAGAGCTTGTTTTCTATCTGAAAGTGAATCAAGTGCTAGTGATAGTGATCGTTACATAACTGTTGGCAGAAAAAGAGTAAGATATATTCCTGATTTTTAAACCGAAAGTGAATTACACCCCGCAGACAGATCCGACAATGAAGAAATTTCAACACAAAGGGCTGCCGACGGGACATTATGGGAAACATTGAAAGATGGTAAAAATACTGGTAGATTTCCCAGTCATACCAAATTCAAAGACGTCTCAGGGCCAACTTCCTATTCCAAAAGAAATATTATACTTGGTACTGTAAAGAGTGCTTCCAGAATATATATGTAACAATTGTTTTGAATAAAGTTTCATTAAAAAAAAATTTTATTTTGTTTTAAAAACTCAATTTCGATGTTTGAGTCAAATTGACTCATTTCAGGCGAAATAGGTATATACCCAACATCCGGCAATCTAGTGTTAAAAGGAATCGATCCCGCGGTCCCCTAAGGGCCCGTGGCCGGCCTTTCACGTCACCTCAAAGGTGAGACCAATTATGGCGGCTCCGTCGAAGCGGATGGTCGTGGTGCCGAAGACGGGAGTAATGGAAGAAATTCCTGGGTGTGGCCGGCGAGTGCACGCGAGTACTCGCCGCGTCTCCGCGGGTCCGCCGAAGGAAAAGAGATCATTGCGAGCCGTATCCTGAAACGGCCACGCACCGGCAAACGGACAAAGGTACCGAAGCGACAAGGTCGCCCAGTGATACGCCTATCGCAATCGGCGACCGACTGAAAGCGTTCCCAAAGGGAGCGGCTACGCGGATCCACGTAACTTTTACTTCTTTTTTTGCATAACAAAGATCCCGACTCGATATAGACGGCGCGCTTACGGCTTTCCATTTACGGGCGGAGCTCGGACGCGCGTCGGCGTTTCCGCGTGCGTTGTAAACGCGACCGATGCGTGCCTCGACGACTCGAGAACAATGCAGAAGAGTAAACGGCGTGTCGTTGACCAGAGGGATCGCGTTTGCGTCACATGTCTCGAAGTCAAATTTTAGTCGTTATTCCCAAGTTTTGAAAAGCTTGCTCCGAATGGAACCAAGAATGGTGATTGAAAAAAATTCAAACTCTTAGGTATATTAGGATGTCCACGAAATGTGTTGTGATTTTTAACGTTTAAAATTTGACGCTCGGTTTTCAAACAAAGTATATTGTTTCTCCTTTGTGTCCGTGTTATATACGATTTTAAAGCACCGACTTCGCTCTACATTTTGAAAATGATAATTGTGTTTTAAATATTAATTTCTGTGTCATTTCGACTGTTGCTGATTACCTGGAACCTAGGTTTTCTTTTCATGCGAAGAAACAGTAAAATATATATTATATATTTTGATATGACGTTAAATTTTTAAATTTTAACTTTTCGATAATAACCTGCTATTTGTAAACCTACTGTTTGTAAGTTTACAATGTATAAACATTTTTATACCTTAAAATGTTTAGAAATTTATGATTCACAAATGAATTGTTTGGTCACAAACGATTGGAGCAATAATAACGTTCTGTACTAAGTTTCGCCGGAAAAATCAAACAAGACCTAAAAATTATTGATATATGAGTATGTAACATCAACGTCACGTAATTTTACATACCCATATATCAATAATTTTGAGGGCTAAGGAACGCACAGGTGATTTCAAAAGTTCCGTGGCGGAGACGCGAGCTTTGTAATTTGAACAGCATTCTAAACAACTTTCGGCCATTCAAGGAATGAACAAAATCTTTGAAACAAAAATATTGTTATTAAAATGTAGAGACAAGTCTGTCCTTTAAAATGTTTCTGAACATTCTAACAGCACGTTGCACCCTATAAACAGAACACAGAAAAGGAACGTTGCTACACTTTCGTTAATTAGAATAATTGCGGTACATCGAGCAATTTTCAATTTTGTAACTTTTTCAACCCAGTTAACGCAATAAATGGCTCTAAAACTTGTGGAAAAATCTGAAAATACTTCTATCGCTTTTCGACGTAAATTATCCTAACTCACAGAAATGTTCATGAAGTCGAATAAACGTTTATGTACTCGTTGCGCCAAGACATAGTTTGCATTTGTTTAGTCGATTGACAAATTCCCTCGTAAACTTGAACGCTTTGTCGTGAAACGATTTGACCACTTTAAATCAACAATTGCAACATACATTACTTAAGACATACTGCAGGTCCAAATATTACAAAACCGGGTCATTTCCTAAGAAAAAATGACCTCCTTTTAAACATGAATTATTTTTATCTCTCTAAGCATTCTTCGAGTACAAAATATTAAAGATCCTGGATAAATTCCGCTCTCTCTTTAAAGAATGGAGACCGACGCCTCAGAACGAAAAACCCAATTCCCATCATATGCTTGAATTTCATTTTGTTAAATCGACAGTGACTATCAGATTTCGTTTATTTAGGTGCAGAGACTTGTACCCTTAGTATTGCGAAATTTACGTTAGGCCCGCGTGACACTTACGATGCATAAATATTGTTCTTTAGACCACTTATCGGGAATTGAATCCTGCTGCCCTTGAAATTCCACGTGCAAAGGTTGCCGTAGGTCGGGGTGCGTAGGAGGTAGAAATATAAAAGGATTTTTGAGGTATCAAAGGGTGAAAGCCACAGTTCTCTTCAGGCCTGCGAATTGACCGTCTCAGATTACGAGCTTGATATCGAAGAACCTTTTTGTTGCTCTCACTGGAGAAAAGCTGCCAAATTTTTCAGCTCGATTACCCACCAATTCGGTAGGTGAACTATGTACATAAGAAATATTTTCTAGGTATGTTTTAGGAGTCTTATCGCCTGTAGTGAACGGTGTAAGATCCCAAATTGACTCCTGCATTGGGTGTGGGAGATCCTTGATAAGGAGCCTGCGGCAATGGAGATGCAACTGGAGCGAAATGTGGTTGACGATACTGGCCCTGATATTGTTGCTGATATTGTTGCTGGTATTGTGGACGATGTTGCGATGGGGCACCAGCTCGTGGACCGTATGCCGAAGGTGCTGAATAGCTGTAAAAAGATTTAATTATTATTTAATTGTAAACATTGTCTTCTAGAAGTATTTACTGGATAATAGAAGAAGTACTTGAAGTACCGTTGTATTATACCCTGGCGGACACGAGACCGCCTTTAATACATTGTATTATGTACGCATATACTATTTCATGGACTTTCTACATCACATACCCACTGAACACCAAACCTAACAGTTATATAACTTAAAACTAACAAATAACATAACGTTTGCTGCAATGTAGTAACCTAACTATTACGTAACATAGAGCTAACTAGTTATATAGCGTTTGTTACAATGCAGTAACTTAATAATTATGTAACAGGGAGCTAACGGGTTACATAACATTTGTAACTATCATATCTATATAAATGTAGCGTAACTTTGTTACTTTTATCTTACATTATGTTACTGTCCTGATAATACTGTGTATATGCAGCACATATTTGTAACAAAACAGAACTACATTGGTGCTAACCGTCATCCGTTTTATTACATCATCGTCATCGTTAAATGTCATAAAATTAATATATGTCATATTTTGTTTACTACTCGTATGAAAAAAATGTGATTTTAATTCGTACTCGCATACACATTATCATAATTGTTTCCTAGTCGAATGAAATCATAGCCTTTAAATAAAATCAGATAGTATTTCATTCACATAATTTCATTTAAAGTCTGATTTACTATATAATACCTAATTATTGCCAAGTGCCACAAAATATTACAAAATAAAAAATTACATAATTTCTTATAAAATTGCATTATTTTTGTATTAAATGTTTGAAAAACTAATATTATTTTAAGGTAACTGAACTTATAACATTAATATAACATGTTACATAACATGTTACCTTATTAAGTGGGAAATAATAACAAACATCTAACTTCCATGTTACTTTTATGCTACATAACACGTTAGCTTCGAAAACGTAACATTTACCTAACAGTTATATAACAGTGTTCAGTGAGTATGTCCTATTTAGGGATTTATGTCAACCAGGAGACGATCACCTGAAATTGCAGAAGAATTTCATTTTCCGAATTTTAAGTTTACAATGTGCCCTTATCGTCCATTAAAATACACAAATCGAAATTCACGATTTAGGTCAAATGAGCATTAGCTTGAAGTGAAAACCATTAAACAAATTGAGGCCAGGGTTGTTAACCTTTCCCCACCAGAGAAGAGTAATAAGTTAGTTCCGGCAGAGAAACTAATGACGTGCTTCAATATGTATAGGAAACGATCAATCGTGTTTGAATGATAATCGATTCAAGGTTTATCATCGCGAATGAAAGTAAATACTACTTTCAAATTCCTAACTTCTGCCACCGTCCTAACTGCAGCAACTGTACGTCTTCCTCTATTTTAAATTCGAGTTTTGTCAATTTTCTATAGCTCCACCTGACCAGCAAGACAGTACCTATGCATTAACTTCCCTTTAAGGTGAAGTGAAACACGTCGAGGAACTTGATCGACGTCGATAAAGAAGATTTTTCTAAATGCCTACGCTGCCGACGTTCGTTTTTATGTTGACAGCTGTATCGAATTATATTGGATATTGTACCAAATGGCATACTCCACCTGTCGTTTTCGTACAATAAATATCAAGAAATCGAAGTGAAACTCCAGAAATCCTCTGGATTCATGCTTTCTGGGGCCCTAATTGACTGCAGAGGGACCCCCTGCGCCATCTGTGATTTCCAGGTCAATTAAATTTTCACTCCGAGACCTCGTATTCCCATTGTTTTATCATAGAAGCGCACACAACACTTTCTTTGCCTTTATCCCGTTGAAATTCGAGTTTATCGATTACCAGAAAATTAGAAATTATCGCAAAATTGTCCTGACCCTTTAGTTTCTCATATCAGAGCCTTCGATAATTGTATATTGATCGAAGTATGAGAGCTCGACGCCATTTTGGTTCTGGTCTGGGCTAAGTTAAAAAATTTTTTCCATAAATCCAAATTTTCAATGTGTCAGGACAATTCTTAGATGATCAGGAGTGATGTGTCAAAGTTTCGGATAGTTTGGTCTAATACCCTGAAAATAAAGTGCTGTATTCGAATCAACTGATTTGAAGGGTGTTTCACTTCACCTTAAGATTCAAACAGGGCATTAAAAGTCGCTTTTATTATAAAAATATTATTTAATTTGTTTTTTCTAGTTGATATCTGACCTCTTAGGCGCAGGGTTGTACGCAGCAGGAGCTGGCTGTTGCCGAGGAAGATTTAACGCTGGTTGCTGGTATCTCTGCTTTGGCGCTGGCTCGTAGCGTTCTCCATTAGTGTACTTGGGGTCCGTGTAATAAATCGACGGGTCTTCTCTATATTGGCCATCGTCTTCAGGTTCGCGTGTTCCAGCGATGCCGTTTCCCTTCAAGGTCGGTGGAGGAACGTTGATGTCGGTACCAGCTGGTTCAAACCCTCGACGAGAGGCACCGTACTCGATTTCTCGAAGACTGCCGGTGTCGTCAAGAAATCCATACTTTCCATACACTTCTCCAGTTGGATACTTTGACTCGATCTTGTAGGACCCATCTGCAGCTTCGTAACCGTAACTGTAGCTGCCATCTCCGTTGTGCCTCAATAAAAAGAAGTCCAAATAGAATTCCGTTGAATAAGAAATTCCATTTAATTCAGGGCTTCAAAAAATGTCGTCCAATAATAAGACCAAAAGTAATTATCTATTATTAAGTACAAGAATTTTGGACAATAAAAATAATAAGAAGTGATTCCTAAAAAATTGGTAATCTTTGATTGGTCGGAATGAAATACAGTAAGTTATTTTCTGATTGTTATTAAAGGAACAATTGACTTCCGCGTAGACAGAGACCAAAATTGATGGTTCGAATAGAAAGCAGGATACGCGTTTGCGTATTATGGAAAGTGCTATTAAACCGAATAACTTTTACTCAATAATGTGTTTACGAGAACGCAGTTGTTAAGCGTTATGGGGTAGGTTCAAGTATTATGTATAACGCAGTTGCGAAACAGAGATTTGTGTCCCAAGGCATGTCAGCGTGTCCGTCGACTGGTAAAATATGACAGAAGTGCCTATCAGGATAATTAAACGAACCCTCTGTCAATATTTTGGTTGCAATGTTCTTTTCCGCCTTTGGTCGAAATAAAAATTCTTCACAGAGGGAATCAATTTTTTTTTAGTTTCAATAAAATGAAAGGGAAGATAGTTATGCTTGGTAACGATTCTTTGGTTATTGATATAACTGTGTGTCATTTATTTACCTATTTATTTGTTTCAGAATTGGCACTGGAGTCGTCGTATGGTACTGGGCAGCCGCAAGTCCAACACACAACAGGAGATATGGTACCTTGAAAACATTCTGTCAATGACATACGACATATAATTATCACACTACATAAGTAATGCAAAATAATCTCATCAACATTTAAAACTTTCCAAATATTTAAGATATACAGTGAATATTCATGGAACGCAGAATGTCCGGCCGGTGGACAATCATATAATATCCACAGGAATATTTGTACAGATATTCAGAAAATATTGTCATGCTAGTAATAAATAGATTCCATATACATATATTACTGTAAAACGATCAGGTCATAAATAATATATCAGACTTTGAATTCCCCGTTAGGCATTTTTATGTCACTGTATTTTTGAACTAGAAATAAATGTTCTTTTCAATTGACAAAATATTGTCACCTATGAAACAACAAAATTTTCTTCGGTCATAGTAATTACTAATCGTAATTCTGTCAAGGTACGTGATGACGATTGAAACGTAGGGTGTCTCAGATAGAAATTCACACGTATTTATAAATGGATAACCAGGTACGGTAAAGGTATAATAAACACAACCTCAATTTATCAAAAACTTATTAGAGCATTCAAAGTGCGTGACACGAGTAAATTTTAGCCTTTATAGGTTAGAAAATAGTAGTAGCGCATTACCAAGTTACATTTGTAAGAAATACTTATGGGTAGAAGTTAGCTTTTATTTTCATTTTTTCCGTGCGTGTTCGATTTCGACCCAGTATCACAATTGTTAAGATTTATTTTATTACTATTGTTCAGACGAAAAAATGTAAGATTTATTCAAAATTAATTGGTGGGTATTTTATTTAATAAATCAGTGCACTGTATATGAGATGTAATTGTTCTACAGTCAGATAGAAATATATAAGCAGTTTAGACGTTATAACTATCATCCTATAGATGAAAGTATTCCTTACATTTAAAAAAATTGTAAAAATTCATACAAACCTTTTTGAGAATATTCAAAGCATGTGCTGGCTTACGAATGTAAACAGAATATTCACTGAGTATTTCAAATATCCAGAGTATATTAAAAGATTTGAAGAATATTCATAGATGTGATCTAGGGAATGGTACACATTTTTACTCTACTGATAATTCATATTTACTCAACGTTTAATTCACCACCGTAGTAACCTCTCCTTTCGATTTAATGTACAAATGGAAAATCATTAAAAGATAAATAAGAAAATAATAAATGAATGTTATAGAAGCACCGTATTAAATATTTCCCGAAAGATCGAGCATTTGTCTGGACAGTATTTCCTGCAAACTGCGATTTCATTTATCTGTAGACATCATTCTCTTCGTCAAAATCTATTTCCCCCGTCTCGAATGAAATTGTTCCCTTAATAGAAATCATGATTTGTCTCCGCTAAAATAATCCTCTTCGTTAAAATCATTAACCATCTCCATTTTTCTCGTTTCCGACAAAACCTTGGTTTTTCCTTCATCAAAATAATTAATGATGCTGATTTTCCGTTTCGCCGACAGAATCATTCTCTTCGTCAAAACCATTAATCGTCCCTACTAGTTATCCATCCATTTGTTACCACTTTCACGTTCTCACAGTAATTCGCGATCGTCTCACAGCGGATTCCCACGCGATCCTTAGCACTCGACCGATACAATCACGATCTTCTTGCAGCCTCGTTACCCGGGCACACCTCGAACGTCATTTAACTGTTGACAGGAGGCGGTTCCTCGATGTTAAATAAAAAAAACAGAAATCACAAGTCCTCGGGGGTCAGTTCGCGCATTGCGGGCCCGCACGCATATTCGGTGCGTTCGTTTAAGCAATGTTCCGCAGAAGCAATGGCAAGGTGTAAACTACTCACGAGGGATGCCATATTGTAGTCGAAGAGGCTCCAATGGTTGTATTATAAGGATCGCGTTACACGGTCCGCAGGTCTACTTATATAGGTCCCCTTCGGGAGCGGCTGGACCCGCCCATGGGCCCGACCACCACCTCGGCATAACCTCAGCGCGAGTCCGCAATGCCGCAGCTTTGAAAACGCTATCTGCGGCCTGTTCTGTCCCTGATCACGTCCCAAAGATTGAACGCATCATTTCCAGGTCCTCCTTGCAATGAACCTAATATCGCGAATAGTAATTTCACGAGCAGGTCGGGTCTCCAGAAGATGGACAACCTTTTTGGGAGCGGAGCGCTGCACCAGGAATGTTACCGCATAATCGAATATAATTACAAAGGAAAATAAATCCGACTCCCTGCTGGATTTTTAACGATTGTTATTTCAGTCCCGCGGATTCAAACAAACGATTGTTAACGATGTAGAAATCATTATTTCTGTAGTGTCAGTGCCCTGTGCGATCCAATAAAGTTAATGGAATAAAAAAAGATGAAAGCGTTTAGCTATACGAATAGTTGTGTCGCCAATAAGGCAATAAAGATTAAGAATAAGTGTGCCCATAATTATGAAAGTGGTCTAAGTCATATATTTTTTGTTTCGAAATTACATTGAATTAATTTCGTTTGCAATAATATGGCGTGAAATAACTGATAAACTCATTTTTTTTTTTAATTTTGACTTAGACCACTTTCATAATTATGGGCACAAATAGGAGTTAGAGTGAAATGTAATGTTTGTATGATTGTGGGGTGAGGTGAGAAGTATTTAGATTAAATGACAGCTGGATAGGTGATACCGTTTATGCGTGGTTGAGAGTTCGTGCAGTGCGGGCGGCCGTATGACTCGGTGAGTGAGAATTTTGACGCACAAAGAAATGTATTGATGAGTGTGGGAATGAGAGAGTGAGGAATATAAATTGAGTGAGAAAGAAATTAGAGCGAGGCTGGATGAGAATGATCGAATGAGAGTTAGTTCTGACTGAGGAGAGCTCGAGCGAAGTCGGAGGGAAAATCAAGTCCCTTTTTCTGAGATCTTTAAGACGTACTCTTCGATGTATTCAATTTCTTTATATTCATTTTTCTATTAATAAATCAACCGTTCATGTTAATCCTGACACTTGAAATTTGATCCTACATTTCAGGGTGGATTATTTTTTCGACATTGAATATTTGTTCTTGGGACGTTTGCTGAGGAGCCTGATGGGTGGTCTTGACGTCCTGGAGCTGAGAAAAAGGTACATTAAAAGCATCTATTGTATTTTGGAAGGGAGAGTTCATGGGTTTATAATTCCAGTTATTTGCCGTTTTTCAGAGCAGGTCGTAATGACATTATCCGTGTGTGGTGTTGAAATTGAATTGCACGCCAGAACCATATAAATGCTGCGGACCTGCAACAGGCAAGGTCGCCGAAGGAATGCCGACGCTGGGTGCATTGACGGGGACGATTGACAACTGGTCCGAAAGGTCGGTTTGCATTTTTCGGACTGATCCCCGGTGGTTTGCCGCACAGTCGGGTAACCGTTGGGGGCAGGTTGCATAATGCCCGCCTCTTCGGCTGGATGCAGGCAACCCTCCGAGCAGTGAACTTCTTGACATTTAGCGCGGGCCAGGCGTAATGCCGTAACAAGGGCGGTACTGATTCCTCGCCAGGAAAGTAACCGGCGAATGGCGCGTATAGAATATTTCCTCTTCGCCGTTTCCTGAGCCCCGCGTTCAGCAAAGTACGTGGGAAACGAGATTACCGGGTCATCCGAGAAGGATTAATTGGGGGCTATTCACGAGAAAATAGAGTACTTCAAAGGTGCACGAAAAACGATAAATTATCTACGGAATCGACCCTTTAGAGCAAAAGTACAATAGCTTCGGTCTGCACTTGTTTTTGAAGTCACGGAACACTTTTGATTGGAAAGAAAATTTGCAAAATGCAGGCTTGGTTTATATTTTTTTTTAAGTCGCGCAACACTTTTAATTAGAAGGAAAATTTGCCCACTAAGGAAGTCGATAAAGTAGGGATGTCCAACCTTCTGATTTGCCTGGGCTGTATATAAATTATATAATACACAATGTTTATATATATTAATTACAAAATTATCTTTTTTTTACTTGCGTTATATGGATGTTAAAAAGATGTGGAGTATCGGTGAAGCATCGGATTGGAAAAAGATTTGAGGGTAAATGAGATTTTTGTAAAGATTTAAAAAATGTTCTAGGCAATTTTTCGTACGTGTTACGACCCGGAAGGTGAATTCTATTATATCCCCAAGCGTGGAAATTGTTTCCTCGTTTCGTAGGAGGGTACCATACAACGGGAGGGATTATTGCAAACGCAGTAACGCAAAACTGAAGAAGTAAAAGGTGGGTCGTAAACGTGTCTACGGATTTCGAGTGTTCAGGAAAACGGCGAGCCTCGTCGAAAGCAGGGCTCGTTTCTTCAAGGCTCCCGCGTTTCCCGAAAGCGGCAAAAGTCCGGTTCATTTTTACGAGCCATTTCCTCTCGCATAAAGGATAGTTAGTTTAAAGACATCTCGGGAAATAATGCTCGGCGACAGTTTGGGCGCACCTATTTTGTGCAAACAATCGGTTGCCGAGTTTTTACTCCGTTCCCGAGGTAGTTCCAGGGTCATTAACCAGTTCCTAATGAAACCCACAATCTCTCCCACATCGTTCCCCGAATACCGCTGCATATCCTTTGCTGCCCCTGACATGCAAAACGCATTCTTCAAGGAAATTTCCAAGTTTTACGAAATTGAGATTCGCAGGAAAGCCAGGCAGAAGACGATCGAACTGCCCTGAGCTTCTTGTCTCGAATCTTTATTCCTTTTACAAAATAAACTGTGAATGGAATGAACGACTCCGCGATGCCCTCCAAGGAATTTCGCCATTCCGTTTTCGAGGCAGCTTTTCTTGCAGGCGCAACATCACCGCACAGTGGCGCAACATTTGCAGACTAGTCTCGCTCGAAAATGCAGGACTTTCGTTTCCATAGTTCGATTTCGTGGAGCCATTGTACGGCATCGAGGCGAGGCAAGAAATCGAATTTCTCCGTTCATTGCCAGTCGGTTGCACGATCGGTGCGGTTAAATCGACGCAGAATGCACTTGTCGCGAAACGCAGTCGAACGGGATTGTCGATTCCTCGCACGCTGACCCCTAGTCGAGGGCTCCGGTGAAATGCATTCTCGACGTGCATTGAAAATCGACATGAACCATTACACCTATCGCACGTGGGTTTACCCGAGAAGTTACCAACGCGTGTCTGAAAATTACGTAAAGGATCCCGGTTGATTACGAGACGGATTTCTCACTTGCGAATCGCTCGTTTGACACACTTTGGCGTTCTGTCTATCGGTGGAAGACTTTAATTGCCGCTAATTTGCAAATAATGGATACGGATGGACATGTGCTGATTGATGACACTCCTTTTGTTTGAGGGCATAAGCCATAATTATCGGGAATAGTAAAGAGAGAACTCTCGCAAATATGAAACGGTGTATTATCAAACGTGAGTCGGTAAATTCAGGAATGTAATTATTAATGTAAACGTGAAAAATATATGCGTGTGGAAATCATAAGGTCTTGAAATTATGAGGATCTGGGGCATCGTGAGGTGTTTTAGGTATATAGAGGGATGCTAAAGAGAACGCATAGCGCCTGGTTGATTTTACCGCGGGTCAAAAGTACATTGTTATGCAAATCTGTGTGGCGCTAAGCAAAGGTTTACGGGATTCCTACGCATTTTCAGAGTTATAAAAATTATAGTCATTTTTACGACCCACCTCTTACCGAACGTATTGCTGCACCCGTTCCTTGGATTTCGTTCTGAACATGGCTGTAAATGCAACCCGTGAAAGTACAGCAAGGAAATTGCACGTATCTACTTTCTTACGTAGGACTTTATTGGGAAGACTTTTTTAAAAATAAAATATTTTTGAAACGTTTCTTCTTGTGAAATTCCTATGATCCGCATGTTACAACTCATACAAATCAATCGGTCATGTTTATTTCCACAATGTACTACTACTGTTGATAGCCGTTGATGAAATGAAGTTCCTTATTTTATGCAATTTAATCATGAATATAAAAATAATTTTAAAAAAGTGTAAAAAAACCTGCGCCAAATACATCCAATTGGGAAAGAATGTTTTGCAAAACCATATCCATATAGTGGCGATTAATCGTACAAAAGCAATGAAATTGGTTACTTTTGCCAAATACGTGCATTGGGTGTTATATGCAAAACAAAATTTGACGAAAATATACCCACAAAGTAATAATTGAGCGCGTAGTAGGAATGAATCACTCTTGCTTAACACATATGGTATGTTACATTGAAAAAAAAAAATATATCTTAGAAATATAAAAAATATTTTGCCAAATATTTGTTTATTCTTGAGATGCGTTGAATTTTAGATGTAAGATGATACATTAATTTTAGATGTAAGATGATACAAGTATTCAGAAAAACAAATTACTTTACTTTCATGCGTTTAATTATTATTTGATGGGTGTTTTTGTAATATTTTATTTTATATGTAACATAAAATGTATGTATTTGGTAAATCGGACTAATTTCATTTTTTTCGTTTGCTTATGTATTAATTTATTGTGGGAATGTTCTTGTAAAATGTAAGTCTACGAGACGTATTTGGCACCGTGCTTTTTCTTTACACCGAAGATGTTTTTGTAGTCATCTTTTTACAGAATATCTTATAAGTACTTACGCAAGAATATTCTCACAATTCTTCGAAGACATCATTCCTAATCCTGGTATAGTAAACCGCAACTTCGATGCAGATGCGAGAAGTGCATCTACCTTCTAAAATGTTAGTGCGTTACTTATGTTAGGCCAGTAAGGAAAATCGCGTATTTAGCAATATTTTTCGAGTTATTCAACGATGGGAATGGAAACACTTAGATTACATTTTGCCCTCAGAAGCCACAATTTCTTAAAGAAATAAAATTAACAAGTTACTGCGTTCAG